GGAGGGAGGTGGGATCCATGGGGAGGAGATGCACAGAGGGATGCTCACAGCCCGACTCGGTCCCAGCAACGCTACTGGGGCCACCCCAGCCCAGGGTGTCCTCAGGAAGCAGTCTTACCTGCTGGCACAGCGTGGACCTGGGCCTCTCCTCTCCATTAGACTGAGCTCTGAGAATGGAGGGGAGCAGCCAGAGCAGCAAGCATCCTCTTTCAGCCAGCCCGTGTTCAAACAAGAGCATGTTAGACCGCGGGCACTGCTGGCCCTGTCCCACTCCTCCAGCGCTCTCTGGCAAGCTGGGCAGGAGCCAGGCTCTGTATAAATAGGTTTCAGGATGGGACGTAGGAAGGAGATAACGCATGTGGGTGTTCATAGCTACGGAAGTGGGAAGAAGAAAGAGGTAAGATTGCAGAGGGGAAAAACAGTGCAGAAAGCCACAAGGAAGAGAAAGAGCAACGGGGGGACGGGGAGGAAGCAGGGCTGCACTGGCCAGCGCTTAGGTGATCAGCTGGGCCGGCCACCCAAAGCGGATGCCAGGAGGCAGCGGTGGTACTCGGGAAAGCTAAGAGCTTTGTGGGGAGTTCCCCTGTCCTCACCTGCTCTTCCTCTGCCCTGCACCATGGTCAGGCTGTGCCCAGTGCCAGCTGAGGACACCGGGAGCAGCTGGTGCCACCCTTTCCCAAGGGGATGTGCAGAGCAAGCAGCCCCCTCCTCCTCCTCCTCTTCTTCCTCCCTAGGAGTCCACTGGGCTCCTCACTGCCATGTCCCCAGTGTCCCTGCCAGGCCTGGGGGATGGCTGCTGGGTCACCTCCTCACCCAGGGCAGGAACCAGATGAGGACTTTCCCTGCGGCAGCTCCAGGTGGTGCCTGCGTGCCTGGAGCTGCACCCCACTCATAGGGACTTTTTTGCGGTGACATGTCTGTGTCCCTGTGCCACCTGGCAGTGACATGCTCCCTGGGGGCATGCTCCCCATATGCTTCATGGTGTATTCTGCAAAACAGGCTCCTTTTGGGGTTTTAGCTCACTGTGGCAAATTTTCTTCCCATCCGAAGGAGCATCTCCTGGCTGCCTAAAGATGTGTTTTGCTGTAATTTCAGCTGTAGAGCTGTTGCTCTAATCCTACATGTGCCTGACAGGAAAAGAAATAATTTATATATATATTTTTATTGTATATATTTATACAAAAGCCTATATATATATGTCCACACACGTACACATGTGGAAGATGAAGCAGCCTGGTTTCTGCTGCTGCCGCCCCTCAGCCCTCTTGCCAGCTGTGCTCAGGCGGCCAGGGGTGGTGTTTTAGGCTGATGCCATCTCTGTTCCCTGTGATGGACCTGGGCTCCAGCAGCAGCCCAGGATGCGGATAGCACATCTATCATCAGGGAAACACTGACCTCTGGCTGACCCTTCCCCTCCAGCGTCCCTCACTGTCCAGCAGCAGCAGAGCCCTGAAAGCAGAAGGCAGCATAGTGGAGGAACTGCACCACGCAAGGGCTCCAGTCCCAGCACCGCCTCGCCTGGGGGAACCCCGGTCCTCTCCTCCCCGTATCCAAAATTGCTGGGCATGGGTCTGCACAGTGGGCACAGATGATGAAATCAGCTGAAAAGTCCCTGATTTCGGTCAGAGAGTTCTGCAAAGAATCCCTGGGCATTTGCATCCCAAGGCTGTGAACTCCCTTTGCAGGAGTGCCCAGCAGAGAAAGACGGGTGTGGACCAAGAGCCCTCCAAGGCACCCTGCAAGTTCCAACAGGTTCTTCACCAGAGCAGATCACACAGCACAGGCAGGAAGATTTACTCCTGCAAATCACAGGGCATCCCATGCTTCTCACTACTCCTGGCCTCCAGGCTGGCTCCCAGTTCTCCAGAGGGGTCTGGTAAAGAGGTGCCTCCGTTCCCCCAAAGGCTTTCATATGAGAGGTCTCTGAAGAATGAGACACATGAGTAGGACAGAGGTTTAGCAGAAGGGGAGATAAAGCCACTTGCCCAATGTCACAGCCATGTATGAGATACTCCCCCCCTTCTTCCTCTCCAAAGAATGGAGATGCTTTGCCTCTCAGCTGTGTCCCATCATGCAGGTGCAGTCACAATACTTTCCCCAGAAACCCCTGGTTTGCCTGGGGAAGGACATCCCATCGAGAACATCAAGAGATCAAGAAAAAAGCTTTATTTGCAAAGAAAATATTGACAATTTACATAAACTTACATCCTAATTTATATACATTATGTATATTTTATATACAGATAGTGTCTTGAATAAAGATGGTGAAGCACAGAAGAGCATCAGTGTATCACTGTGCAGCTCTAACGGGGCGAGTCGTGTCCATCTCCCCACAACTCCTCTCCCATTATGCTTTTGCTGGGGAGTCCGAGAGGCTTCCTCCCAGCCTGGGAGTGATGAACACAGGGTGGGGGTCAGGCTTGTGAGTGGCTGCAGCCACAGTTGTCCCTTCCCCTTTCCCTAGAAGCATGCGCCAGGGCAGGAGCCACCAACCCAGTGAGTGGGAAGGACTCCCCATGCTCCACCTCTGACCGGGAACAAGGAGGAAACACAAAGGAGCCAAGGCAATTTGCTCATCTCCCTCCCAACACAGCTTGGGTGCCCTTTCCTAAGCACCTGACGTTGCTCAGTCAGTGGAAGTGTCCTTCCTGGAGCAAGTCCCCAGATGGGGACGGTGGCAGCAAGGAGACCACAACCACTTACCTGGGTGAGAATGGTGCTGGAGGGTAGCAAAGGCCAAGCAGTTTTGGGTAGATAGCAGAGCCAGCAAGTACCACCAGAGAAAAAGGCTGGCACACGGGAAGCCAGTGGTGACTGCTTTTGTGTCCACCATCTCGGATGCACAGACCTTTGTCTATAAATGAAGCACTTCCTTCTTAACCAGACTAGGAACTGAGCTACATCAAAATCCAAAGACATCAGAGGGAAAGACTGGAGCAAGGCTCTGTTCCTGCTGGAGTTTGTTAAAACCTCCCATACACATCGTCCTCACGGTCCTCCGAGATGCCTTTTTGGCTCCAGTTAAGGGGACGAGGCACCAAAGATGGTGGGACACCATCACACAGAAGCAGCTACACTACAGCCTGGGTAACCTGCACTGTAATACTTCACTAATGAGAACTTGTTGCTAGAGAGGCCCAAGAGTTTCAAGTATAAAGACTCTCCATGACTGCTACAGAACTGGTGATCCACCCGCTCACCCCAGGGACGAACACAGCTCTGGGTATCAAGGCCACCTGCACTCAGGTCTTCTCTGCTCCCCATGTCCAACTCCAAGTCTCCAACTACTCTGAGCTCACACAATCACACTCAGGATCCTGAGTCATTGCCTTATTTATGCTTGCCCTTACGTCTCGCTGTTCGGGCTGTACTCGCTGTATTCTGAGGCAATCCTGTTAACGATTTGCTTAATGTTCTCACTACACACGGTTGTCCTGATTCATTCTTGTCAGAAGAATATGTCCTTCTTAATCCATTTTATAGGGAAGAAACCACAGAGACTAGTTAAGTGCCCTGAAGGCTCTTGCTTAGTCCAACATGTTACAGCTAGAAAGGAGGAGAACATACTGAAAAAGAAGGAGCAGGCAATTTTTCATGCAGTTATTTTACAAACTGCACGCTCCCTGTGAATAGCGAGGCTGTAGCCAAAGCTGGGTGCCCCCGAGAAATATTTATCTCCCAATAACTGCAATACTTGGCAAGTGAGATCACTCACTGCAGATGCAGAAAAGCGATGGAGTCAGGAATGCTTCAGCCAGGGTGGACCCTCCTGCGGTCGATCAGCTGCCACAGCATGGTGCTGAGCCACATCTGCTCCATTGTCCCTACAGGTGACCACGGCTGAGCCACCTCTGCTTGGAGATGGAGGGCATCACCAAGACATCAGTTTGGGACTCGTCCCATTTGCTACATAGGCTGAGACTTCACTACCCTCTTTAGTTTGTTGTTGGTTTTTTTAAAAAAACCAAACAACCCAACATGCTCTGAAAAGAAATCCAGTTTAAAAAAAACCCAATGCAACCAAGCATAAACCAAGGCACAACTCAAAAGAGCGATCAGCGCTTCAACCTCTTCCTCAGCTCGAGCACATCTTATAGCTTTAGATCTCCCCAGTGGAGGGGAGGTAACAGGAGAGAGTTGCTCAAGAAGCCAAAAGAAACAATAGCGTCCCGGCTCCTCTATTAGTCACCCCAAATGGAGTTATGGCTAGACTCAGCAGGGCTCAGAGAAAAGAAAAAGTGGTGACTTCATGCTGGACCAGACTTTTTAAATACAATTTTTTTTTGCTAGAGACTCCATCACCACTTGTTAGAGCATTGTAGGTAGCAGGGTGCCAAAAGGAAAGGGGTGGGAGGAGGAAGGAGAAAAACCACATCTAAAAGCAGGACAGTTGCTATTAAAACAGAAAAAAAAAATCCTGTTTGAATAATTTTATTCTTAAACATGACAAACTTCTTCAGAGTGTTTTCACAAGTACTTGTGTCTGCTCTACATGGCTCAGTGAAGCCTGTAGAAATGTGTTCTGGTTTGCAAAATATTAATTAAAAAGACAAAAAAACCCCGACAAAACACAAATTGCTGTAACAGCAGCAGTACTTTAAGGCAGCCCCTGTTTGGGCAAGGTACACCTCTGGGGTAATGGCAGGAGCTGAAAGTAGCAGAGGCTCTGGAACCGGTAACTGGCATTTTCTTTGGGACTTTGTGATTTCTGGAATGTGGAGGCAGTTTCCTATCGCTAAGCCTACTCTATGAAGTATTCGCCTTCCTCTCGCACCGACCGCTTCCAAGCCCTAGGCAGAGGCACTTCGCCTTTGTCGCTCGCACTCCTGAGGATGAATGTAAACATCACTGACCCTGTCTTATTCACCTCCCTTCGCACCCCCACGGCCGTTCCAGTTCAAACTGGGAAGGCAGAAAACCAGAAACCCCCTTTTTCTTGCATTCCTTAGCGTGCAGAAGCAGGAGTGCCTGGATAGGACAACATGGACATCAGTCTGTCTTCTCCTGCTACCGCCTGGGATGCTCTTGCTAGTGCAACATAAAAGGAGAGACCCACACCACTCTCAGCAAGCCTCGTGTGAAGATCACAGAGCAGAATATCAGTGCAGTAATACTTGAAATACTGAGACAAGGCAGACACAACAGCCATTCTTCCTCACAACGCTTTTTTTGACTAGCTTTTTGATCCAAGTCTCCATGCAAGTCACAGAAGACAATTGTGCTTCCTGCATTCACATATAGGAATAAATAGCTCTGGATCAGTTTTCTTTATGGCCGGATTACAGAACCCCCTGAAATACTGATACGCTTATGAACAGCAGCACTGTGCAGTTCCGTGAGGATCCTTGGACGCGCCAAGTTCATCTAGGATGCTGGTGCATCTCCTAGGCGTATGGCCCCAAAGAAAGTTGTGTGCTTGCTCATGTTGATGGAGATGTCAGCATGGACCATTTTCACAGCAATCTTCTGCCTGGCTTTGAGGAGGCAGACCCCAGCTGTATAGCAGGTATTGAAGTTGGTCTTGCCGGTCTCAATACTCCGAGTGCATTGCAGAAAGGGCTTTTCATCCACCACCACCTCATAGCTGGCAAAATCTGTGAAGTTTATGTAGTATACCTGATGTGAAGCAGGAAGAAGAACGGTATTAGGGGTTGTATTTGTGCACCAGGAACAAGTCCACATTCCTTTCAGTGTGAATATATCTGTTCCCTCTGCTAATGAAACCTTCCTTGGCCCCAGGACACCTATATTCATGGGAGGTTGACTTACTCAAGGCAGAAAGAGCCCCAAGCCAACCAAACATGAGGAAACTGTATTCCACTTCATCCTAATACAGCATGCAAATGTTTGTGAATCCACGTCTCTAAGGCTGAGCTACAAATCCCTGCTTTAGACCCTGCTTATTACAGGAAAAATTACAAACCTGCACAGGCCTAGTTACAAAAACATGTGGACTGCTACAGGCAGATTTTCATCCAGTAAATAAACAGAAATATTTTACTGAAGTCCTCTTGCACTTACCTGGCCAGTCCTGCTTTCTGGGTCCCATGAGCCTCCTTTAGTGTTGACATGAAAAATGCCCTAAGATGTACTGGGAGTTGCCTTCTTTGTAATTGGACTTGAGGTGCTTCCAAAGGCATAAGCTATTACAGGGAAGACACTCCTTCAACCTCCACCTGCACAAGCCTAGTTACAAAAACATGTGGACAACCCTATCTGCTACAGGCAGATTTTCATCCAGTAAATAAACAGAAATATTTTACTGAAGTCCTCTTGCACTTACCTGGCCAGTCCTGCTTTCTGGGTCCCATGAGCCTCCTTTAGTGTTGACATGAAAAATGCCCTAAGATGTACTGGGAGTTGCCTTCTTTGTAATTGGACTTGAGGTGCTTTCAAAGGCATAAGCTATTACAGGGAAGACACTCCTTCAACCTCCACAGCTTGCAGGCAAATGACCTTATCGTGTTTGTACTGATTTAACTCTTAGATGTAAGTCCCCATGACTCCACTACTTGTTACTTAACCATCTCCCACACACTGATTCTGAAGAACTGCAAGATGCTGTCCAAAGGGAAGCCAAGTCCCAGGGAGCTGCTTCTTCCTGACAGAAGAAAACCCAGCAATTTTGGATGCATCAGCTAGTTCTTCTTAGCCTACACCCTGCGACCACAGAAGATGCAGAAGACTGAGTCTCCTTTTTCTTTGATGGGCTACAACGACAAAGGCTTCAAGAGGCACAACACTGTGGCCAGCAATTAGCACTAAGCACTCAGGAGATGATTATACTTTGGCCCATGTAGAGTTATTTTTCCTGTCCCCATCCAAACCACATAATTGGTGCTGTGGAAAGGCACCTCACTTGACATCCAAAACCCACTTTATCCGACTTGGTACAGTCCCACTGGGGCTGCCAACTGAACAGAGGCAAATCATGACCAGGAGGTCATATTAGAAGCCTGGAGCAACGGAAAGTCATTTACCTTGCTAACATCTGTCCCAAAACCTGGACAGTTTTTCAGTCCACAGGGGATGGGACACCCTGCATGCTCTGGAAGGTGAGAGCTTTGTAGCTTATGAGCTACATGCAGCTCAGCAATGTTTGTTCACACTGGGAGCAGTGGGTTAAGTGACAGTGTGTCTCATGCATTTTATTTGAATGGGGAGAGGAAATAATTTCTTAATTAGCTGTATACTAAGTCCTAATACAACAATTTATTACTTTTTAAAGACCTTTTTACAGAAGCAGGTCTGTATGTCCATCGTTGGTACCAGCTAAAGGAGCAGCTGAGCCATCCCACCGCACAATGTGGCTGTGTCAGTCTGAGGCTACACGAAGAGGGTGGAGGCAAAATGGAGTTACCTGGGCTGGAGTTTGGCCAAGCCACTCAGGATCAAGTGCCCTACACATACAAAGAGTGACGTGGCTTTGCAGTGACCATGAGTTGTCAGGGTTTTGGTCTTACATCTATTTGAAAGCACAGAGCCTAGCCTCCTGCTGGGACTCCTGTTCTGCAAGGTTTAGGTGTGCTGGTGAATGACTGCACAGACAATACGGAGAATTAAAAAAAGGCAATGGTGGCTTTTGGTATCTGGCTAGGCGTCTGCACGTGTGTTTCGGTAACTAATCTCTCGCAGCTGGTGTCACGGCGAAAGGTGTGACCTTGCATTTCCAAACTCTGAGGTCTTCCTCCAACACACATCTCCTAGAGCACGAAGCGGTTAAAAGCACATACAAGTTCTTGGCATTTGCTGGCTGTCTGGAGCCCTCTCGTGGTTCATGCAAGGCTTCCATTGGAACACAAGAATAGGAGTTAGGCCTAGGACCGTACTCACTTCTACCTGACTATAGATGAAGTATGTGCCGTCCACCAGTACCTCCAGCTCCCCACTCCGGGCATGCAGCTTAAACACCTTGGGGTTCATAGTGATGCGAGACCAGTCATTGAGGACTCCACCTGAAAGATCTCAGTATGAGAAAATGGCAGTCACTCAGTACCCGTCAGAATGAAAAGCACAGGAGCACAGAAATACAGTGACATTGCAAGGTTTCATACACAACAGCTGGCACAGACTCAAGTTGAAAAGTCAAGTAACTCGGTAAGAAAATCTCAAAATTAAATACTATGGTGCATTAGTTTGGACTCCTCTCTATAGCTTTAACTGCACCATCACTGGCTGGTGGACACCCATTTTGTTCAGCACACAGCACAACTGATTTACATCTCTACTTGTCCTTGTCAAGAGTAGTTCTCCTCACCCTTGAAAATCAGTGTACGGCCTTTTGTCCTAGCCTACATTCATCCCCAGCGCTGCATGCAGACCAGCTTGCCTCCTCCTGACACTAAGCCGAGCTTATTATCACATTTGAGTGTTCTACAGGCCTGAAAACATGCTCCCTGTACCAACCCCACTCCAGAGGAAGGACACTCTGGCACATGCAAATCAATGCCAGTACTGCAAGGCATTTGCTAAGTTTTCTTAGTTCACCTGAGAGGCCAGGGGCTGATTTTTCATGCTATTTTTGTATGTTCAGCCACAGATCCCAAATGACTTATGGCAGCTGTGATTATAACAGCACTTCTTCTGGCATCTCCTGAACAGCATCTGTTCATGGCCCTAGTAAAAGCTTTGTTACTGGCAACCTCCCTGCTATCATGGAAGAAACTCTCCAGCAGAGGTAGGACCAGGACCCAATTTCCCAAGAAAGATCCTCGACTGACATCACCTGGCTTAGAGACCATTAAATCTCTTCCTCTGCTTTCCATCTCATTTATTACCCTCCCCACACCTCTCTACCCAACGTCCACGCTAAACAAAGTGGAGCTTCAACATACAGTGTGCTGATGTCCATGTCAACAGGTATGTCCTTGAGGGCTCAGATGACAACAGTGATTCCTGTCCTTATGGGAATGGGCCTAAACATGGCCAACCTGACTGCCCCCCTTCTCTGCTGCTGGACTGGGAGATGTTCTTAGCAGTGGTGTCATGACACAGCCTTCACCCTCACTTTAAGTCTTGGGACCATCCCTGGAAGAAATCTAGTCCTTGCAGCAAGAAACAACATTGTTATGGAAAAAGTAATGTGCAGCTACAGGACTACACCTTCTCTCAGGACACATCTGTGCATGGAAGCCAACCTGGGGTTACAGAGTCAATTTTAATTCTGGTATTCCTTGACTTCAACATTCTTGACTTTGTACCTCGCATTGTTTTAACAAATGCTTTGTCATTACATTTCCTATGTTTTTAAAAGCCAAAATAATAATAACAAAGTCTGAAATTGCATCACGGCACAACACATTAACCCCTAACTGAGGTCTTCAGCACCGACAGGGGTTTATAGACCCACCACCCAGTCCTCTGGCACTGTCCAATGGGACAACTGACAACATGAGTAGACTTCTGTTCCCTGGACAGGCCAACGAGCAGGTCCAGAGGACACACTTTGCTATGAGCCCAGAACAGAGCCATTCTCTTTGTTTTATCAAATACAACTCCTTTCCTCCCTTCTCAGCTCCCAGCCCCCCGTTGCAAACCAGCCAGGCTGTGTTTTGTGCCGGCTGTCAGCTGGGCAGCATTAACAGCTCCCAGCATCAGATTGTTCCCAAGCAGCAGGGAAGGACACTCACAGGGCAATGCCCCCTCTTAGGGAGTAGCGTACGCTCTGTAAACATACAGCCTTCCCATTAATAAAGGGATAATGACTTCATGAACGTAAGCAAACCAGCATCTTTTCCCTCATATTGTTCTTAAGAACGGCTGGTTTCCTTCCTTGTTGCGGGGAGCTTTCCCCCTGCCCTGCTGTAAGCATCCTTCCCTAACCATGAGAAATTTCACCTCCCACAGCTCATGTCTGCTGAAAGAGAGAAACTGCCTTTCAGCAGAAGCGTTGGCCAGCCCTCATCATCCCGTACATGGGGCAGAAGTTGGTGGACGGGGGTCCTGCAGCCCTGTTCCACCAACCCGTAGGGTGTGAGATGAGCATATAAGGACCAGGGCTGCCTCCTGCGGTGACAGGGGACAAGACAGCCAGACATGGTGAGCAGCTCGTGAATGAGACCCAGCTGTTGGCAAGAAGAGCAGGGACTCAAACATAAATTCGATAGGGATCTGGGGAGGAAGGAGGAGAGAAAAGAGCTGCCCATGGATGTGAAATGGCTCAGCAGGGCTGGAGCTCAGAGGTTGGTAGTGAGGGTAGAGATGCACAAGGGACCACAGAAGTTGCAGGCGTGCAGCATAACACGGAAGGAGGTGATGGCTGTGCACCTTCTCCTGCCATAAATTACTGGGCAAACTGGAGAAAATCCCAGGCTAATGGGGCTGGGACATGAAAAGGATACACTGAGGGCTTAAAACAGAACAGAGTGGGAAAGAAGGCTGAGGAAAACTGATGATACAACAGCAAGTTGGAGGAGGTGCATCGTATCTGGAGGTAAAGGAGAAGGGAGATTCAGCGGGACAGAACTACTGGGACAAACAGGAGCGCAGGAGAAATGGGGACAGACACCAGACAGAAGACTCCTCTGAAGGGATCTGGGCAGGGGAATCACTGTCATGGGGGGCAGCCAACAGCAGGGAGAATTGGGGATCACTGTTATGGATGGACTTAGACCCAGATATAAGGCTACAGGTGGGCTCTTTTCAGTAACTGCATATATCAGGAGATCCTTACCATTCTTCACTTGGATTGCTGAGCCTTGGCCTTGAAGGTGGACCACAGCTGGCTGCAAATGAGATCATAGGGATTTAAAATTAATGGGAAGCGCTGCATCATTTTAGTCACTCAAACCCTTCCACAGCCCTGGTGACCAGTGCAGAGGCGTGACAGTACACTGAGATAATTAATGCTTTTCATAAAGGAAATAAAGATCAGAGCAGTTGACAACAACATGTTTAAGCACTGGAGAAGAGGTGAGAAGCCCAAGCCAGATTAACACAGCTTTCTTCTGAGCGATAAAAAGGGTGAGCTCAAGCAGCCACACTGCGTAGCTATGAATTAGCACATGCAGGAAGGAGTAGGTGTTTTCAGAGCTATACCACCGAACACAGTGTTAGCAAACATAGCTGGGAATGTTTACAAAAATACAGCCAAAGCTGGGTTTTTCCCTTGAAAGAAGATCAACCAACCTGGATGTCTCTGGAGCCGGCCTTGTCTGCAGCACCTGCAAAACACAATTTCACATCACTGAAGAGGAAGCTCAAAAGAGCTGTAGTAAACACTCCTATAAATAAAACTTCTCTTACCCCATAATAACCACTAAGCTCCCATTTTTAACAAAAGGACAGTACCAGTGGTACCAGCTGCAGCTTAATGTTAAAAAGTTCATAAATGAGAAAAAGATTCATCCTACTTTTCCCCATTTTATTGCTAATGTTCTGTCTAATATCGTCAGAATTCCCCAACATTATTCAACCAGTTTCTGCTAGGACAAATCACAGAGCCCTTTTCCTTTCTGGCAGTGGCAATAAAGCCTCTTCGCTGCAATGACTACAAGTTTCACTCCACAGCAACTCAGGTCATTCATTGCATTCAAGCTGAAATCTTGAAATCTCTTTTCTCTGAGAGCCAAACCTCTATGAAAGAGGAGATGCTTGTGGGCAGCACTAAGGACCTCATGGTGCTTCTGGTCTCTGCTTTGGCAATTTCTGAGATATAAACTGAGAAGTCAACCACATTTTCCTTTAAAAGTCATGTGAGCTATAGGGGAATAGCCCTGATTTCTCTGAATATACATTTTTAAAATACTTAACTCTTCATATATATGTACAACAAACAACACTGATGTGTTGTACAGCAGCGGTGACACTGTGGCATCTCCTGTGTCCCCCCCTGGTGCGCAAGGGCTCTGAGCAGAGAAGGGGACAAACCTGAGGGGCCCTGCAGTCCAGGTGGTCCCTGAGGGCCTGGTGGGCCAGGGGGGCCGGGCGGTCCCATGACGGTTGTGCCGGGAATCCCAGGGATGCCAGGAATACCAGGGGGACCCTGGGGCCCAGGAGGACCTGGTGGCCCTTGGGGACCATTGGGGCCTGGAGGACCAGCCTTCTTACCTGAAAAACAGAAGGTCAAACATTAGTTTCTCCACACACTGAGTGTGGGATGGTATTTTACCTACAGGACAGCAGAAGACTGGGGATGGCTCAGTACTGGCTGGAGGGCAGGGACAAGGAGGATCACCCAATCCACCAGGAGTCCCACAGTCCCACACCATGAGGACAATGCTGCTGGCAGGGTAGAAGCAGGACATCGCCTTGCAGGCACACTCCAGCATGTGTAATTACATTCAAATGAGGCACATGGACTCTCCAAGGCCTCCCAGGAGATGGAGGCCCAACGGTCTCTGCCCCAGAGCCCTGGCCTGGCTCTTGGCATGGGGCTGGGAGGTCCCACGGCCCTCAAAGGCAGCCTGAGAGCTGGTGACACCCCTACGGCAAGGTTAGTGAATGCAATGCAGTGAAAGCTGGGGTATTAGAAGTCAAGATGAACGGCTCTGCACCTTCTCAGTTCTCTGTTTTTTGATGGAAAACTTGCAATCTTTTCTACCTGCTGTATACGCATGCATTAGCACATAACGCCCATGTCTCCTGTCAGAGGTGCCTCCAGAGGGCAGTTCAGAGCTGAGCTGCAGCTCCTCCAGCTGCTGAGCGCCCAGGGCGATGCAGGAGACATCCCCACCATGCAGGAGGCATCCCCAGGATGCAGGAAACATCCCCACAAAGCGCCACATTTCCATGGCGCCTTGAGGATGCGCCTAATGGACACGAGGGACTTGGATGCTACAATGCCTCAAAAGAATTAATTGTGCATTTTTGGGGTTTGGGTGGAGGGGTAAAGGAAGGACTAACGCCATTGGGAGGATGAAAGCACCGAAGAATTGCCACGATCCTCAGACACCTCATCATGCAGTACCAGGAAGAGAAATAGCACAACCGTGTAAGCAAAGACTCTTATGGCACATACACACAGTGTATATGAAATATAAGGCCTGCGGGGAAAGCCTGACTTGTGCTATCCCGATTTTCCACATCCCTGATAGAAATTACGTTCTTTTGATGTAGTTTTTAAATGCAACTTTATAACAGGAAAAGCTTTATGAACTTAGCAAAACTGCTTCAGCAATTGCTGGAAAAAAGTCCACCACAGGACAGAATGTGCTTTTAGATGACAGCATGGATGGTTATCAGAATGGTTTCCGAGTACATTTAGGTATTTGTTTCTTTACTAAATAATCATTTTTGTAATGGGACAAAACCATAGGGAAAACCCCACCTATCTTAGCATGAAGGTGGAAATCTCTAGGAAATCTCCACTAGCCACCAACAAGAGCACGTGGAAATCAGCTTAGGACAAACCCCTTACCCATTTTCTCCTAAAGCAAACTTCCTAAATTCTTTGTATTCATGCTCCCTTCCAACCAGGCCACCCGAGTGAAGGATCACACGCAGTACATTGGGAATCCTCCTTGCTTTCCTTCCCCAGAGGGATACGCATTACCCCTGGTTTAGCTAATCTGCCTCCGAAATCTGGTCTGCTGCTAAGCGAGCTGCTAGTTGGGCCGTAAAATAATTGCACATAATTCTGATGCCGCACAGGGACACTTATTTTCTGTGCGTTCCCGCTCCTCCAAGTAATTTCAGCTACTTTTCTGCATTAATTATGCAGAATTAATGACCACGCTTATTACAGTCACAAGGCAAAAAATAGATATTTGGTAAGTATAAAGCTCTCAATTCATCTACTAACTGGGGGAACCCCAGGATGAGCAGTTCTCCAGGGAGGGTCTCTAGCCCCCAAATCCCAGCGTGTTACGGCTATATCTTCATCCACATGTGCTAGGCAGGCTCCAAAACCCAACACAGGCAGAACAAGTGAGTTTTCCTTCAACATCGTTTGTCAAACAATAAGCTCTAACTCTAAAAAAAATTAAACGCGATAATACCATAAAATTCAACTATTTTACGCAGCATGACAGCTGTATGTGATACAGCTCCACAAGTTCCCTCTGCTACTCCAGCCATCATTTGTTATTAGTTCGCCTGATTTAACACGGGTTTAGGATTTCAGAGTTTTGCTAGGACAAACTTCTTAAACATCAAATTTTATGCTGCTTTTGAGAGTAAATATAAACTAAGTTTCTAACTGTGGCCTGTCTCAACCTCTCAGCCGTAAATTTTGAGTTAGTATCCCAGGATTAGAAGCGATTTGATGCGCTGTTAAAGTAGCAGAGACACGCAAAGCTCGGCCGCTCTTGCTGCTGAGGGTCGCAATGGTGGGCTGGAGCCCAGGCGATGTAGGGGGAAGGTCTTTTGAGGGACACAGCGAAGTGCTGAACAGCTAACTTCCCTGTTAATTAAATATACATTGGGTGCAATGGGTTTATGAGGAGCAAAAATGAGTCATCTGACTGCGTTTCCCTGAAATCAGAGAATGTGGACCCTTCAACTCACTCAAGTTCTTGGCAGCAAAGAAGTGTATGACCGACCACAAGTGTTTCCCAGGAGTCCTGCACAAATAGGGATGGCTTCAGACACCCCACAGAGACACAGGGCTGCCTCTCAAAGAACCCAAGTCACATGCAACTCATCGATATGCATTTAAAAAAATACTCAGTTACCCATTGCAACCAGCTCGAGGAACATCAGGAAGAGAAAACACCTGGGGGCTGACTGACACTCAGAATGGACACATAAAATAATGCTTTGGAGCTTAATACACAACCAGAAGTGAGATGACAAATGTTTCTATGCTGAGTTTGGTAGGTCTGAAGGAGATCTCAAACCTGCCCCAGTGTGGGAGCACAAAAGCAGCTCATGGTCTGTGCTGGGGGACCATGCACCATGTTAATCCCTGCCCTTCTTGGAGAGGTGAGCCTGTTGTTGCTTTCTCCTTCATGTTGGCTAAAGAGAATTCATAGCTGGGTACCATAGGCACAGAAAGGAAAATAAAATTAAAACTAAAACTTACCCTTTTTCTTGTTTTTAACTGAACTTGGACCTACAAAGAAGAAAAGAAAACTCGTGAAATTCAGCGATCATTTAATCTTAGAAAATCCCCACTGCCACCAACACCCCACCACCCCAGGGGGTGTCTCTCCAGGGCTGGAACAGAACCAGTAAGCCAAAAACATAGTTCTCTGTTTTCTACAAACAACTGCTGTGAAGATAACCACTCTACCGAGACCCACATCTGCCTCGCCCTCTCTCAAACGAGCAACCCATGTGGTATAGAGCAAGTGAGTGGGTTTTGGTGGGCATCTTTCTCCTTCCCTTACTTCAAAGATGAGTTAAACCACTTTTGGTATCCACCAAAGTCACAGATAAACGTACAGCACATCAGACCTTCAGGGAGCAGAAATCCTGAGACTCAAGGGAAACCATTTAAAAATACAAACCCTACACCAGCAGATTATTTTTCAAGTGGACAACAGATGCATTTGTGGTCTGTGCAGCCATATGTGAATATTCTCTATTAGCTTGAAATTGCCAAGCCTAACATTTAAAGCTGACACATTTTACTTCCCAATGAGGACAGGTTAGAAGAAAGTTATCATGACTCAGCTCTCAGCAGAGAGCAGTAACCCAAATACTAGCAAGCCAAGTTGTTTAAAAATAATAATAAAATACTAAAAAAAAACCAAACAACAAAAACAAAAGCAAAGAATTAGTATGAACTGGCTTATTTGAACAATGGGAACACAAGCCTCCCTAGCAAGAAGGGAAAATATTTACAGAGAAGCTGAGAAACGACATGACTTTTTGAGCAGAAGTTGAAGTGTGAAACACGTTCCATTGCATCCTCAAAAATTAATCATGGAAGGAAATGAACTGCAAAAATCCCCAAACATTCCCCTCATCATTCATCAGTGAAATCCCCCTAAAATCTGGGATTAAACACACACCCAAGACTGAAATCACCTTTAACTGAGATAGCCTGTAAGGAATGGAAGGTAATGAGGTTGCTTTGAGTCAGCACTGGTAGAGAAAGACAAATTACCAATTAGTAGAGAAGTGCTGTGTTCCCATGGCCAGTTAGAGGAAAGACGGGGGAAGGACCAAAGAAATACCCAGTGATGTTACTGATGCCTTTTCCACAGCAATATTCATTTCCACACATTATGCTGCTGGGTCATGGGAAAATTATGGTATTATCTGATTTATTATTTCTGCTAATTTACTCTTTTATTACTAATGTGTATATTCACCATATTAAAGATGCAGATAGGACAAGACTGCAGGTTTCCAACAATGCCAGTCCTGGTATCTCATTAAGAAACATCACTGAAGCCAACCTCCAGGTCCACCACTAGCAGATAAATCACAAAACCTTTTATGTTTGGCAAACACCCACAGGCTCTCTTATTGCATTTTCTGAGCTCCGGTGATGCAGAATGACCCCCAATCTCCATCGGCCTTCATCTTAGGCACCAGCTAGTTAATAACATTTTCAGCAAAGAGAAAAAAAATTCTGGGGGACATAATTTACGAAAAAAAAAAACCCCAACCCAACGCAGCAAGCAAAATACGAGTGCTGTGTATGTGTCTCTTCAGACCTCGGAGTCACGAGAGTTTATTTCATGTTATATATATCACACCATTAGCGCTATAACCAGAGTGAAAGTACAAATAGCTGTGGCGAGCCAAACACATTTGAAATGGATGGAACCAATTAGCTTCAAAGATGAATGGGAGGAATGAGAACCACATGCGATGTCAATGTTCGCAGTCTATATTACAACACACGCATCTGTTCCAGGCACGGCAGAGAGAGATGTTATGGCTGTGCAAGTGAATCTTCCGACAAACACAAAAAATACTCCTGACATGGAAAAAAAAAGCACAATATTATTAGCCTTGGGAGCTTCTGAGTCTCTCGGGTTTGCATCTGTTTGTCTCCCTATAGGAGGAGGTGGATAATTTAATTGTAGCAGGGAGCCATAAGGTTCATCTGATACACCAGAAGACAGGATTTTCCTGATTTTTGCTCAAAATGGTAACTCATTGGCTCAATTTAGTCTAAAATGGTAACAGAGTCTCTTACTGAGTTTGAAAAGCAGAGTGCTACTGAAATATCAGCAATATATTCTCCTCAGTACAAAAAGTACTGAGGCACAAGGCTCGAAAACTTTACTTGATATACGTTGTCCCAACGCTGATGTGCAGAGGAGTAAAATAAAAACTCCCTTCTGCCATGCTTTTCTGAGGCCACACCTCGATATTTAAGCTATAAAGCCTGTTAAATGCTGCAGTGGTTGAACGCGTGCGACCCGCTGTTTGCTGTTAATTGATGGAGCAGGTTAAATACCAACAAGTTAGGCAAGCCTAAGTCTTTCCTAGAGTCTTCTCCTACACCCTTAATCCCAGCCCTCCTGCAGTCAGGCTCCTGGTTTCAAAGCCTTTTCCACTCCCCATATTTATTTAGCGTAGTTTCATGGAGGCCATTAGATAGCTTGATTCCAAGGAAGGACTATGAGAAGACGCATATTTTTCACTCCAAGATGCAGGTTATAGTCATATGCACTATGTTCCTCTACACTGTCAAAAGCCTTATAAAAAAACAAGTTACAGGACACCTACTGCTACTCTGGAGTCCACAAGCCCTGCTATCTTCTTGTAGAAGGAAATTGGTTTGACTTGAAGAATTCTCCACTGATCAACACTGTCTGCTACTGCTTTCATCTCCGCTTTCAGGGGCTTCACCGCAGCACACTGAGGATTTTCTCCAGTCCTGGTGGGATCTGACAGCAACCCGACCAGTCAGCTGTTCCCCAGCACCTCTTTTCCCTTCTCTATAATAATAACCTGGAGTTTGCTTTTCTACATTTTTCTGGCATCACCTCCGTTTCTCATGAAATCCTTAAAGTATCTGTAATGAACTCATTGGAGATCAAGCTCATGGTCTGCACTGCTGGTATTAGACGTGACAGCTACCCAAGCATTGCTATTTCTCTGCATATGTGCTTGCACTCGACTGTTGTACTTCTTCCTACCAATCCCACCTACCCCCATGTTTGAGCTCAAATCAGACCTCAGACCGAGGGAAGTCCATCCCCTTCTACATTTCCTGTCTTTCATCTGAAATTAACTTTATGCTTATGCTGTAATCCTTCCTTGGAAGAGCTGTCAGCTTTATTCAACCCCTCATTTTAGCTTTGCTCTGCAGAGAAAAGAAAATTTACAAAGTCTGCTCATACAGAAGAGGGCCAGGATACCAGAGAGGACAGGCTGGATGGCTTTGAAGGATACAGTAATGAGCATGGAATGAGATTCAGCCATACAAAATGCATAGTCCTATAAATTATATATACAGAAGGAATAATAAGCTTTTCTGCTGGATGGTGGAGGTCCTCAATTGGAGCTGAGGAAAACACCACCTGCATGTGCTGAATTGGTGTTATATAGCCAGGAAAGGCAGAAAGGCAATCCTAAAACAAATCAGCAGACATACCTCTGGCAGGCATGGGGCAGTGCTGATGCTACTCAGCAGGTGGAGGTGAAAAACTTGGGAGTAATGCAGTCAATCCTGATCATCTACATACAGAAAGATGAGTTTACATGAGAACAACTTCACGGAAGGGCTCCTGCGAAGGTCAAGGAGTGGTCAACCAGAGCTTGAGTAGTTGGCCATCAACACTGGGAAAGAGATGAGAGCATCAGTGGGAAAGGCTATGGGCATGGAGGGAGATGACCTGTTGGGGCTTAAAGGACAGCACTGGCATGTCCTCACGTATGCAAATTGCTCCCCAAGACCATTAATTTGGGAAAGAGAAGGCTCCTTCTAACCTCCAAAGGAGGAGCACAGGTTTGGAGGGGGTCTTCTGGCTCAGAGTAAGGCCTCTGGCATCATAGGTCACTGCTTAAAGGTCTCTCAAAAGCTCTTCAGTCCCTTTGGAAAGTGGTGAGGTGATTTTTTGCCTAACTACTAAAGCCATAGCTACTAAGCTATGAAGCAGGCTGCTAGCCTGACTTGAAACGTTTAAGCTAGCTACCTGATCTACTTCTAAAATTTACAATCTCTTTCATTGGATTTCCTGTAGGAAAAGCCCACCGACTCCTGCTGTAATAACTCAGGCCAACTCTATCATCTGCCAGCAGAGTTCTTCATCACAGGACGGTATTTCCAAGCAAAGGCGTTAGAGCAGCAATGCTGCGTGCTGGGCTTTTGAAGAGCCTGGCTTTGAACAGCACTCGAGACCTAGACTTCTCCAAGAGCTTATTTTCCACATCTGTTGGGAAAAATAAAAGGGAACGATAACAGGAAAGGAGTAGTTATAAAACTAGCAAGAATGGTAAACTTTGAGAGAAAGGTACAAGCAAGGAAAGACAGCTCTATATGATAAGAAAAAAAACCAACCCACATAAAAGAGCCACCCTGGAAGCCTTCTGCCCGCAGAGCCAACTGGCTGGGCATCTGCAAGGGGAAGGCTTCAAGCAATGCCAAGTCACTTCTCTAGCAGCAGCACTATGGGTTTTAGCGATAAGCCAGTTCAGATGCAAGCCTCTCACTGAAGCTTAAGAAAATATTTGCAAGGGATGAGGTTTTTTTGTGGTGTAAAACCGCAGCTGTGACCCAGCAAGCAGCAGAAGACATCTACCCGTGCTTCAGGGAGCAGGTTCTAGCTCCCAGCTCCTGCAGCCCAAGTATCTGCTGGATCATTTCAAGGGCTTCAGAAAAAAGCCCCAGATGGTGATGCGACTCGAGGATATTGCATATGACATGTTTTCTCTTATAAAGATTAACAGAGTTTACTTGCCCCCCACTGATTCTTCTTTCTGCACGCTACACACTGCTATGTTTTGTTATAAATACAAAAATATCGAAAACTTCTTTAAGACATATGCTGATATAAATAGTTTATTTAAAAAAACCTGAGTTCACTTATTAGTTGTGTGTGTGGACTAACACGAAATAGTTTAAATTCTTGCAAACAGTTCAAACTGATTTTATTGATGGGAACAGATCTTTGTAATTATGCTTATTTTATATAAAACCTACAA